TGTGACTAACTTTCGCAGTAAATCCAGGCAATAAAATTTAGAAATTTGGAAACAAAACAAAAAGTACTATAAGTTGCAATTCTCATCATATCAATATGGTAAGAAGTGCACTTGGATAGAAAGAAATCATAGATGTTTTAAAGGGCAAACAAGTCACCTTTTCTCAAGTATATACCCCATGGTGAGCAAACTTTATATGTGGAAAAGACAGAACACTGTAAATGGCACAGACCTTACACTGCATTCGCTCATCATTTGCTAGATTACATAAATACTTGAATGGACAAGTCCATTCCTTTGTGCTTTTTGGTACTTGTAAAGATATGATACTTGGTTTAACTCGACCCAAAAACCTAGCTCAACCAAATACATACAAGCAGACCATCAGTTCATTCTACAACCAAAGTGGAACTCTAACCACCCCTTCACGCACAGGTTCAACTGGAGCGTGGGCAAGGAGCTCGAGTGGGAATGGACCCCGACTCTAATACCATGTAAAGATATGACATTTGAGTATAACTCAACCCCCAAAACTAGCTCACTAAGAGAGGATTGCTCAAATCCATATAAACATAGCCAGTCCCCAGCTCGGATACCAAGTAAAATATATGATACTTACACCTAATTCAACCCCAAAAGCTAACTCATTAAGGGAGGATTACCAAAATTCATATGATAAATATGTTTGTTGTTTTTATTATTTTTATGTGTTTATTCTTTCAGGTCTTGCCTAAAATTTTGATCCAAGACTTTTAGAGTCAATGGGTCGGAGTGATTGCTGATTGCTGTCTATTATATACAAGAAATATAAAACAAAGAATTAGTAGCTATTCAATTTGTTATCCTTGACGTATAGTAAATTTATATAATTATAAGTGTATAGGACGAAAATATATGTATTTGCATTAGTAGCTATTCAATAAGGTAATGGTTACACTTCCCAACTTATTTGTCTTTCTGTGATTTAGTATAATTTGATTACAAATTTATAATAATTTAATGGTAATATTTTATGAAATATTTTCTTACAATTTTGTATAACTTGAATATTGAAGAAATGGTTCATGACTAATCAGTAAAAATGACCAACTTACAATGGACATTTTGGTAATTCATTTTTTTAACTTAAAAGGCTTCAACTTTCAAAATAATAATATAATATATGAAAAATGAAAATTTAGAAATTAATATAACATAAAAAATAATAATTATGTTTTGGAGACTTAAGTACAATGAATTATGAAGTATAATATTATATTTTTATCCCAAAGATAGTATTTATTATTGAAAATGGTATTCATTAGTAAGTATATTTCGAGATTTTGAAATGTTAGAAACAATTGATGAGAAAAATAGACTTTTGTAATGTACAAATAATTGATAAAAAGCAAACAGGAAAAAATTAGTTTGATAGTCCATAAAAAGTGCTAAAATTTTCAATAGAACAATTACCTACGATGCGAATCGAAAAGAAAGAAATTATATCTTTTCACTGATTCAACCGTATAAAATCTGCATAAAGCAAAAATATATAATTAATTGATGTTGCAAAGTTATCCTTTACATCATATAAAAAATATCAACTTGCGAAAATTTAAAAAAAAATTAGTACCAATTTAGAGCTTATAGAATGCTCTAAATTTATATTACAAAGTGATAAAGTTAGTATAAGTAAATAAGTAGGGGGGAAAATGGAAGCAAATAAACAAGGGACAAGGTTGCAAATTCCCCAGGATACTCATTTACTCTGTAAACAATCAATACTGGATTGTACATATTCATCTAATATGATCAAAGGCTTACCTGATAGAAACTTGCAATAGTAATGCTACTTCCATTTAGATGATTTGATCTAAATATAGTTCCAATTTAGTGATTTGATCAAATGGTAGATCAAATCTAGTTTCCTCAAATCATTTAATACGTATTTTGGCAGAATCAGGTGTACTAATGTAGATAAGTAGCTACATCAACCAGTGATTTTTAGGAGAAGAAACAATATCGGTAAAGGATAATGAAATGATATTAATTTTTGCAGATTATAAGGTGATAAAAAGAATATCAAAAGGCTATAAAGGTAGAAGATAAATGAGCAAAAATTAAAGATAAGAGAAGAAAAGGTGTAGTACATTGAACAAAAATAGATCACATTCATGCATGGAAGTTATTATTTACCTTTATTATGAATTAAGATGACTATTTTTAATAATGAAGGGAAAGGTGAACGTTTACCCTCTTCTAACTGAATATATATATTTTTATAAGAATGTGCATTTACATCTTTGTATAATTTTTTTTTTTAAGTAATATCTAGTTAAATGATATTATAGTAAGTTAGTAACTCAACTTTATAAGGTTATTTTTGTAATCCAACATTTAACTTCAGAGATTATTATTATTATAATTATATTATGTTATGTTGATATATAATATAATAAATATGATTGGTAGTGGTATAATAGTATAATAATATGATTATTATTAATGTTTGATTAATTAGTTGGTTTGTGGCATTTAAATTAAGAGTAGGGGTATAATGGTAATTCAACTTTCAAGGTTGGAGCTTCCCACTTATAATAATACTAGTCTTTGGGAACGTGCATTGCACGTTTGTCCCTTATCATTATTATATAAATTTTATATATTTAAAAAGTTGAGTTATAAAATAGATAGTGTTGAATACACAATATGGATTTTACTCATCAATAAAATTCATACAAGCAGGACAATGTATTTCCATAAAAAATATGTGAAACTACTTAAGATAATATAGTCTCTAATGATATGAATGTTGATAAATCTTTGCTTGAAAAAAATTATAAATGCATGTAGATTGCCTCTAACGAAATTTGCAAAAACATGAAGAAGATTATTCGAATTTTTAATGTAAATGATTTAATATCATTTAGTATAATCTATTCAATTTAGAATGATTTGTTTTAGTCTTCCACTAACTATTGCATAGATAGATGACACAGGGATAACAAAAAAAAAATACACTACTTTAACATCTGATTATTCATCTCAAGTATGCATAGAAATTGTCGGTTTGCCATCACAGGCCATCCTGTTATTTCAAAGAATCAATTAATAATAGACTCAATTTTCAGCAACAAATAAATTAGTAATTACCAAATAAAATGTATCATCACTATTTTATATGAGAAGAAAAATAGAAAAAAAAAAAGAGTAAATAATTACATAGCATACCAAAAGAGAGAACATCTCTTACTATTTCATGTTAAATTTTATTACAAGTCATAATGAACCACTCTTGATAAAGATATTTTTTCTCAACTAAACATAAGGGTTTTAGGACGGAATAACTCAACATTCAATCAAGTGAATCATTTAGTCTTCTTATAGCATGAGTGTCATCATATAATATTATACTAATTCTAAAAATCATATACATAAAACACCTAATTTTTTCAGAGAAACTACAATTCACGTACCCCATATTTTGGCCTTAAATTTGCTTCAACGTAGAAAAACATATATTGGACCGACATTTTCAATTCATCGTCAAATTTAGTATTTTTCTTCAAACATCACCTTCACCTATAAATTTACAATACTATATGAAATTCGAAAGGAAAATAGAAAAAAATTGAGAAAGACACAAAAAACTTAGAAAATGTGTAGATGAAGAAAAAAGTACTGAATCGAGAAGAGAAAAGAAGATTAGATACTGTATGTGCTTACCTTTGTGGAGTGCATAGACATAAATGCACAAATGTTTACAAGAATGTTGAAAACTGATATATTGATGGTAATTTATAATATAAATTTTTGATATTTAAAGTATCCATAATGTAAAATATGAATAGACTTACAAGGAGCTGGAGGGAAATAAATTAATGAACCATGACTTTTAAGAAACGTTTCATGAAGAAAATAAAAGGTCTAAAATGTTGTTGTAATAACCACATCATATCTATACATATATATATAAAATCATTTTTGGGTATGCAATAATTGAAAAAAAGAAAGAAGGGAAAATGGAGAAAAAGTCTAAAAAAAAAAAGGAAAAAATGGCATATTGTTTATGCCTAACGTATAGTCTATAGATGGATAGATTAAATTAGTTGCAGATTAATTGGCAAAGTAATATTTTTTGGTTAATTACAATCACTTCATTTGCTAATTTCCAACAAAGAGTAAGAAAAAATAATTAGTTAGTTAATTTATTATTATGATGATAAGTAATGTTTTTTTTCATTGTAATTGCTAATGAAAAGGCTACTGCTTCGAATGTACAAACATAAATTCTCAAGCTTTACATCAATCATCAGCAAAAAAGCCAGAAGACCTAAAAAGTTTACTTATGTTACAGTTACTTTTTCTCAAAAGAAAGTATATATATACTTATGTTTGCTTTTCTTACCAACTAGCTGATAAATATGTCCTTAGAAAGTTTCAGACTTGGTAGTATTATATAAGCGAATTTAGCTGTAACACCTAAACCTGACCGCGTTTGGTTGGGATGACTACATCTTTTGTTTGAAACAGATTACGGACGAACCTGATTTCCGGGAGGGGGAGATGTAAGAAAAACTACCAATTTGACCCTTAGCTTGAGTATCATTATTTTTGGTTTTCTACTAAAATCCCCTTTTGGAGGGGAAGGATGGATTCATAGTGGGGACGATTTAGAAGATATAATCGGAGGACATGTATGGTTAGATTCCATTTGTATACTTGGTGGAATCTGGCGTGTCTTAACCAAACCCTTCGCATTGGCTCGATGAAAATAAAATTTGGTCTGTCCTCCCATTGAAAAGATTTTCCCTGTTTTTCCTATATATTTTATAATTTTAAGTCATGAATGCGGTTAGTGATGTGTTAGTTTTGTTTAGCTATTCTCGTTGTTTTGTGCTTGTCTAGAACTTTTCTGGTAGAATGAATAAGTTAAGAAAAAGAATAAACCTTTTTAAGTACTGTTGTAAGATTTGTAACACAATATCAATACATTTTTTGTAATTTATTGCCAAATTTTTCTACAGGTTGCATCACCACTAAGGAACTTGGAACCGTGATGCGTTCGTTGGGACAAAATCCAACTGAGGCTGAGCTTCAAGACATGATCAATGAAGTTGATGCTGATGGAAATGGAACCATTGACTTCCCCGAGTTCCTTAACTTAATGGCTCGGAAGATGAAAGACACTGATTCTGAGGAGGAGCTCAAGGAAGCTTTCAGAGTGTTTGACAAGGATCAGAATGGATTCATTTCTGCAGCTGAGCTACGCCATGTCATGACAAACCTAGGCGAGAAGCTTACAGATGAAGAGGTTGACGAGATGATTCGTGAAGCTGACGTGGATGGTGATGGACAGATCAACTGTCACACCCCAAATCTGGATGCGATGGCACGTGTCCATTTCCCACCGGACACGTCAGCCTAACCCAACCACAACGATAGAGAAGTAGAAATACGAGAATAAGAGATAATAAATAAGCGGAAGACTTTAATTAAAACTCAACACTACCCAGAATTTGGTTGTCACATGTACAAACCTCTAAATACAGAATTCGAATAAAAATATACAAGTCTCAGAGTATAGTTCTCGAATAGAACAAAACTGAAAGTAAAGATAACTCAAGGGCACGTCTGGAATGAACCGCTACCTCTCGAGTATGTCCCGAAGCTCAATCTACTAAAGAAAATACTAAGCCGAATCTGAGAGAGCTGTCAACCTACACAATTGTGTAGAAGCAAGGGTGAGTACCGAAAACCACAGGTACTCGCAAGTAACTCTAAACTAAGCAAAACTAGCAGCTACAAACAACTCCTTTCAATCCCAACCGAACCACCGAAACTTCAATCTAGCAGCAAACCAACCAACCTATACTAAACAGATCATATTCAACAGCCAATATACCTTTTTCATCAAAAAGGGAGTCCAAATCGATAAAACCCCAATTTTTCCCAAGAGATCTACGGATAGGAAGAAAAAGCAGATTAAGAAATTATGAGAAAATGTCGAATTGAAGATTGAATACTAACCCTCATATTAATTCAAGAAGAAACCCGTAAGAATCACTCCATTCCGATCTCTAGAACTCCCGATATGCTCAAAATACCAAATGAACACAGTCTGAGATTTTTATAACAGTGCATGACTGTTATGCACCAGAAAAACAGCAGTTAATCTTTCACTAAAAAGGCCGTAATTTCCTCATACGATAGTGAAATGACCCGATTCTTTTTTTGTAAATGTCTTAAATAATGATACGGACCTGCTCGTTCAATCGGAGCTCAATTTCATGCTCGTTTGCCCAGTCAAATATCATTTCTACTCGGTAAACAATTATTTCTTATTTGCGATAAAAGTCCAATCTCGGGTTAGCGAAAATGCACCAAAATTTACAAATAAGTCCTATAATTCATGCTCAAAATTCCAGAACCTTCGGAATAATTTTTCGACCCTTAAAACTAATAATGAACCCTTTAGTTGTCACAATTTGCTGAAATAGTGTCAAAGCATCCAAGAAGCTTAAAAGCTCACCCAAAACTCATTTGGCACTTCCCGAACACAAACCAAATATGCTACTAGCTTGAAAATGACATTTCGGACTCAATGAAATCGTCGGAATTTGAATTCGAGGTCTCCTTGACCCGGTATCCGATAAGGCGTCAAGAAACTAACTTTAGGCTCAAAAACTCGAAACGCACTCGGAGCCTCTAAAAATTCAACCAAGACTCATTCTAGACTTAGAATCACCCCCTGAATCCAACGGTGCCCTCGGAATTCCATTTCGAGCACCGGAACCTCGTTTGTTGACCAAAGTCAACTCTTGATCAAAATTTCACAATTTTTGCAACTTAGGACCTCAAATCTTCGTTTTAACTCCAAATTCGACTCCGTAAATTCTCATAGACCCGTTTCGACATTCTAAAATTGTTGAAATCGACGGAAATCCGATTCGAGTCTCGAAACTCCAAATGACTCGAAATAGCACTTTTAACCAAACTTTAACTCTTAAAAACTCAACTTTCCAAAAACTCAACTTTTCATCAATTTTCCTTCAAACCAACTTCGAAATTACAAAAATTAGGACTCGGGGAAACTATCGGGAGGGGTAGAACGGTCATTTTATGAAAATTTCCAAAAATGACCTTTAGGGTCATTACATCAACTACGACGAGTTCGTTAAGGTCATGATGGCCAAGTGAGAACTGATCAACTCAACTTAACTAAATTCGGTTATTTTGAACCTTATGACAATTGAGGATTTTTTGTTTTTTATTTTGCGCGATTAATTTTGTTGATATTTCAGATTCTCTTGTAATCGTTCTTGTTATTTTTTACTTCTAATATACATTGATCATCTTCCAATTTTCTCTGAAAATGCTCAAGTTTTTTAAGCCTGCAAGATCATCATGTGGAAATACAGTTAGTTTGTATATTGTGTTTATCCTATCGAAGGTAAATATAAAGTAATCAAACTAAAAATATCACTTATTTTGAAACAGGCGAGTAAATCTGAAGTAATATGAGTCGCATCTTTGTTTACATTAATGTTCAAATTGCCTCTACTAGAGTCTTTATACTAAACAACTCAAGTTTTCTAAGTCCATGGAATTTAGAGTAAAGAGTAAGTTGTAGTCACATCAAAATGAAAAATTAAAGTGAAAAGGATATGATTATTTTGTAACTTTCATTTGAAATTTCCATGGCAAGATTTGTGCAAGGACATGAAAATTTTGTTTCACTATGTAGTTTTTAAATATGTGAATATTAATTTAAAAATTGTAGGATATCGATAACCAAAGTGTTAATGAAAATATATTTATTAAACTTCATATATCTACTATAAAGAAAATAGATTTACTTAAACTTCCAAATGAAAATAGATCATATTCCTAAGATTTCTCTTAGATTCTCCCTTCAAAATAAGAAATAGATCCACATAAATAAATGTTGGCATAATACATAAATGTGTCCTTCAATTTGGCTTCATTTCACATTTATGCCCTCCAATTTTAGATGTGTACAAGTAAGCACTTCAACTTATATGAAGTTGACCAAGTAGACATATGCGTCCTTACGTGACATAATACACATAAGACACCACATAAGATGAAGATTGTCGATACCACATAGGATGTGTGTATCTATTTGTTCAACTTTATACAAGTTTTAGTGTCTATTTATGCACACCAAAAGTTGGAGGGCATTAATATGAGCTAAGACCAAGTTAAAAAGCATATTAATGTATTATGCCAATAAATGTCTAAATCAAGCGTAAATCCTTCTTGAACCAAAACACACTTTGTTTTTATCTATTTTTTTCTTTTGCAAACTTTGGAATTTTTCATTAAATTGAATCAATTTATGTGATCTGGCTTTGTTTGAAATTTCTACAGCAAGACTTGTGCATTGACTTGAGGATGACAAACATTAATTGCCATATTTGTTTTCAGTTGCTATCAAATTTACTATAGGTCAAGGTGGAATTTTTATTTGAAAAAAAAAATCTCTTTTCGAGTTTGAATGATTTTTTTTATAAAAAAAATTAGATTATTTTATGTTCGTTTTTTTTCTTTATCTTTTAAAGAAATTTCTTTAAATAGTTATTCATAAAATTAAATAATCAAAAGAGAAGGAACCAAAAAGCAATATGTCACGGACTAATCAAACTAAAAATACCTATAGAAGGTAATTATGAAGTAATCAAACTAAAAATACCACTTATTTTGAAACAGACGAAGTAATATATAGATCAAATTGCCTCAACTAATCAACTCTTTAAGTCTTCTAAGTCCATGGAATTTAGAGTAAAGAGTAAGTTGTAAACACATCAAAATGAAAAATCAAAGTGAAAGGGATATGATTGTTTTGCAACTTTCATTTGAAATTTTCGTGGCAAGACTTGTGCAAAGACTTGAAAATTTTGTTTCACTGTGTAGTTTTTAAATATGTGAATATTAATTTAAAAATTATATGTTATCAATATCCAAAAAATTTATGAAAATAGATTTATTAAACTTCATATATTTATTATAATGAAAATAGATCACATTCCTAAGATTTCTCTTAGATTTTCCCTTCAAAATAAGAAATAGATCTACATAAATAAATATCTCCATAATATATAAATGTGCCCTTTAACTTCACTTCATTTTACATTTATGTCCTTCAACTTTAGTTGTGCACAAGTAAGCATTTTAACTTGTATGAAGTTGATCAAGTAGACATATGAGCCCTTACGTGACATAATACACATAAGACACCACATAGGATGAAAATTGTCATGTACGATCGTAGGACGTGTGTGTCTATTTGTTCAACTTTATACAAGTTTAAATGTCTATTTATGCACACTAAAAGTTGGAGGGCATGAATATGAGTTGAGACCAAATAAAAAAGCACATTAATGTATTAGGTCAATAAATGTATAAATCAAACGTAAGAATTTGTTGGTTCTTGAACCAAAACACACTTTGTTTTTATCTTCTTTTTTTTTTTGCAAACTTTGGAATTTTTCATTAAATTGAATCAATTTGTGTGATGTAGCTTTCTTTGAAATTTCTATAGCAAGACTTGTGCATTGACTTGGGATAACAAACATTAATTTCCATATTTCTTTTCAATTGCTATCAAATTTACTATAGATCACGGTGGAATATTTATTTGAAAAAATCGTTATTCGGGTCTGAATGATTTTTTTTATAAAAAAATTATATTATTCTATATGTTCGTTTTTTTTCTCTTTATCTTCTAAAGAAATTTCTTTAAATAGTTATTCATAAAATTAAGTAATCAAAAGAGAAGGAGCCAAAAAGCAATATGTCACGGACTTAGAGTTTCACTAATTTTCCGTGCGAAGTGGCGGGACATGAAAAATAGCACCAATTGTTGTTTGAAGTGGGATGATTAAAGTAAAGAAAGAAGGTGACTATAAATCACGTTAATTCATTTGGTACAAAATTTGATTTAACCATTCAGATGTAATCCACATATAATACGGAAGATGGATGTAATAATGGTATGTAAATATATATGTAGATTAATAATATTTGAATCACCATTATTATTGAGTTTACAGTAACAATTATTTCCTTTTCACTTTATTAGAAAAAAAAAATCACGACTAAATTATTATTACTGCATCCAATTTGGAGTTAGTCAAACAAATATGTGCCTATACATATATTGTTAAGTAACTTTCATTTGAAATTTCTATGGCAAGACTCGACGTTGTGTATGGACTAAATAGTTTCAAAATATGTGAATATTAATTTAAAATATAAGTTATTGATATCTAAAGTTTTAATGAATATAGATCCTATTCCTAAGATTTCTCTTAGATTATCCTAATATTGATTTATTTAAAGAGAAAAAAATTACTGCTAAATTTATTTCAATATGAAAATTCAAAGTGACTTTCATTGAAATTT